ACGTGGCAACCTCCAGTCCTCTGACACACCTAGGCAAGCCCGAGAGACTGTCCCTCCCCAGGGTGGCCAGAGAAGGGTGGAGGCAATCCACTCCCTAAAGCATCCTCCCTGAGGGCAAGGTGACCACACCCTTGGTTAGAGATCAGAAAGCAACCAGCGGGGGCTCGCTCTTTGTGGGGGCATACATGGATTGGGGACAGGCACTGCCATCCATACCCTTTTGCAAACCAGGGTGCTCAGAATTTAAGCTCTAACACATCTTTCAGCTAGTAACGAGGTGCTTAATCATTTGGGGCACCCAGGAAGTCCTGTTGGCACATGGTAAAGCCTCATAAATGTTTACTGAGTGGTTCCTCACATGACTTTGTAGCAATAACCATAACCATAGTGATAAAAAACAACAAAAAAAACTCACTGCCATCTAAAGGATGCCAAGTCATAGGGACCCTGTTCGGGCAGGGTGCAACTGCTCCTGTGTGTTGCCAAGATTGTTAGTTATTTACGGGAGTAGAAAGCCTCATCTTCTAAAGCCATTAGCTATTTACAGGAGTAGAAAGCCTCACCTTCCTCCCAAGGAGCAGCTGGTGGTTTCCAACTGCTTATCTTACCAATCGCAGCCCAACTGGGCTGGTAATCCCAGTCCCTGGGGAAATGTAGACGGTTTCCTATGAGCCTTGCTCCCTTTGTCCCACTGTTGGAAGATCCTCTCGTCCTTGTACAAATACATTATCTTCCCAGGCTGTTGAGAGACCTGTTATTTCCCCTCTCACCTGCCAGTTTGGGGACTCTAACTTGATTTTCGCTGCATCGTTGAAACCATGCAGGTTGGAGGTAGCAGCCCCACTGTTCCTCTGCCAGCACTTGCAGGAATGAACGTTGAATTTCTCAAATCCACATGGTCTCTGTCTTTGAGTAGCACAGTGCCAGGTTCTCCCAGACTCCTCGACTGCTAACAACAGTAGTAGCTGTTACCTCCTTAGAATTTGTTCAAGTTGATTTTGACTCAGAGCTAGCTGCTCAGTGAGACTGAGAAGTGTCCCACAAGATGTCCTAGGCGGTGATCTTTTCAGAGGAAACCTGGTGTGTGTAGTGGATTACACACTGGGCTGCTAATAGCAAGGTCAGCAGTTTGAAACCATAAGCTGCTCTAGGTGGGAAAAAGATGAGTCTCAGAAAGCCACAGGGCAGCTCAACTCGGTCTTAGGTTAGGGGGTTTCCACGGCAGTGAGTTAATCTCTTGGGGAGCAGGTCACCGGTCACTCACTGTGTGAGCTTGAACCACAACTTCTAGGTGAGCCATCCAGGGTTCCACCACAGATTCATCAGGTGGCCTGTAAGAGCAGCCACCTTTGGCCTTCGTCGATTGGTACAGTCTGTGTCTCTCACTGAAGTGATCATTATGCACCTCATTTCGTCTCCGCTGGCACAAAACCATCCAACCAGCAGACGAGGAAACCCAGGCTGGCCCCAAAGGAAATAATTTGTCCAAGGTCACACAGCTAGCAAAGCGGAGCTCAAATCCCTGCCCAGGTCTCTCTGGCTCCCCACGCCACGCCCTGCTCCTTCCACTCCGCCGTGTCCCCTTGGTGGCCGATTTCACTTTCCAATCAGTATCTATGGTTCTGCCTTCTCTCCTGAACTCACACCACAGCTGCCTGTCTCTCACCAAGAGACAGGCCCCCTTTACCCTCCACCTGCCCCCTCAGTATGTGCATAACTCCATTCGCCTTTCCCTAAACTCAGGTCTCCTTTGGGAAGATGCATTCTCTGGCAGTGCTACTGTAACTACTTGCCCCAGGGTTCCTGATTGAAAACTGAAGAAAATCTGAAATCCTAACCATGGCTTTGAATACCAGTCTAAGATCCAGCCCCTGCCTACCTTACCTGCAACCACTCTGCCTTATACTGGCCTCCTTTCCATCTGCCCAACTTGCCAAGGTCTTACGGCAGATCTAGTGTTCAGAATTTAAGATCCAAAACAGGGCTCTCCCAGCTAGAAAGCTGAGAGGCTGAGCAGACCAGCAGCAAGACAGGGACAGGCCTCATCTCTGTGCTCGAACATTGGGATGTCCTCCTGGGGGACTTGGAGCATCTGTGCAAGATGGTGGGGTTGTCTCATCATGTTGTTTTCTACTACTTAAAACCCTTTATGAAATCCATAATTCAGGACCTTCTACATGGTTGCATTTTATAAATGTCTCATGTAAGGGCTGGAATCAAGTGATACGTTGAAAAAAAAAAAGCGCTTAAGAAATGTTTAGGATACAAAAGAGACCCTCAAATCTCAACTACAACTTAAGGAGAACATTTATTACTTCTTTAAAAAGACAAAGACAAGGCAAAGACACAATATTCGGAGGCGGGAGGCCATCAGCATAAGGTCATAATGGCGTCCAAGGGTTTGTTGAGAATCAAGGACTTAAAAAAGTCGGAGGTGGGAGGGCAAAGGAAATGGTCACAAAAGCATGATTTGACAGCAGATCAACACATCTCAATTACAGGTGGGACCACAGAAAAGGGAACGGTCCCGGGACACGTACACATTAAAACAGAAGAGCTTCTAAGGTTGGTTCAGGGCCTTTGGAATAAGGCAACCTGGGCATGACTCATGCCTCTGCTACCCCCATAAGGTGACCTCCCTTAAGGGCACACCCAGGCAAGCCCCTAAGGGAGATTTGCCTCTCCCTGGGCTGGCCAGGGGAGTGAGTGGAGGCAATCCACTTCCCAATGCACTGTCTGAGGGCCAGACTATTCAATGGAAGCTGAATCCACTTGGGGCCTTGGCAAGAGGATTTTGGGTTTTCACTCTCATCCACTGCCTTCTGCCAACAAGGTGTTCAGAATCTATGCTCTTAGACAGCACGAGGGACAGCAGAGGAAGGTGGAAGGGTGAAGGCAGGCCCACATGGTAAGATAGGAATAAAAGTGCTTACCTTGCAATGTTGTTGGCAGGCTCAGCCATACTTGCAAGATCCTTAATCTAAAACCCAAATCCAATACCATCTAGTGGGTTCCAACTCAAACCCACCCTGTGTAGGTTTGCTGAGGTTTCAGAACTTGACAAGAGCGGATATTTCTTATTCTTCTCCTGCCAAAGCAGCTGGGGGGCTTAACCCCAAGGGCTGCGATTCACTGTTAACGCTTAGTCCACGGCGCCACTAGGGCACTGAGAACGGGCTTCGTAAATGGAAATGCTTTCCACAGCCGTTTATAGCACCAGCTTGCACACACAGACAAGGACGACAGGTAGCTAACTAGGCCCCAGTGCCAAGACCACGTTTCACCCATCTTTAAATCCTCATAGCCCACGCGGGCCACAGCAGGCGGCCTCTACCCACTCCGCTGAACAAATACAGGTGTAGCCCAGCCTGAAGCACCACCCGTGAGCGCCCACCAAAAGCGGGCTCGTCTCAGCTCAGGAGATGATGGTAGCCGTCGGGCCCGCGGTTCGAGGCCTGCGCTGGCATCTCAGAATTCCCCAGGGCCTGCCAGAGCCAGCACCTGTCTGCCAGGGAAACACCAGCCCGGCTTGGGGGAGCCCAGCTTGGTTTGCCCTCTGTGACAGCGCCACCTGGCGGGCGCCCGCGCCGCAGCGGCCAGGTCCACTGCGACAGTCGCCGCCGCTCTCGACCGCGGTCGGGAATGGCCTCTGCTCTAGGCGGTCCCCTTCTCCCTCCCGCCGGGTTCACGGTTGGAGACGAGCGCTGCAGTCCTTCCCTGACCCTGTCCACGAAGCCAGGCCGCCCCTCCCCCAGACGTGTCCAGCCCCACGGGGTCTGGAAAGCACCGAGGGCGACCAGGCCCTTTCCCGCATTTCCGGCCTCTTCCCACCCCAGCGTTAGGAGCAGACAGAGCTGGCGTCGGTCTCGTCTGAGCCATTGTACAGGTGAGAAGAACGAGGCTCGGGGAAAAGCAGCTAGCCCAAGGTCACGGGGCGCCCGAGAAGCCGGGCTCTCGCGTGCGCGTCCCCCGACTACAGCCCCTTCCAGTCGCTGTGCAGACGCCGCGTGCCCGTTCCCACGGTGGGGCGGGGTCGGGCAGCCCAGCCGTTGAGCCTCTGACCAGCGGGGCGGGGGGAGGGAGGGCACGCCGAACGCAGGCTGCAACCGAATTTCTCGTTTTCCCCTCTCGGCCCACCAAGTTCCCGGCACCCTCGCCGCTGATTGGGAGCCGGGGACTCGGGCCCCCAAGCAGGAAGCAGGGTCCCGCGCGGGTAGCCCCTGGGAGCACGCGGCGCCGGGTCACGTGAGAGGGGAGAGCCGGCGAGGAGCCGCCGTGCGCATGCGCCCACGTCGTGCAGCCACGCCCCGCGGCGGGGGGAAGGGCGGAGCCCGGCGCCCCAGTCACGTGGGAAGGGTGGCGGGCCCGCTCTGAGGGGCGGGAAAGGCCGAGATCACGTGAAGGAGGCCCGTCCAGGGGGGTCACGTGAAGGGGGACAGAGGCGGGGCC